TCCCAACTCCCAACTCCCAACTCCCAACTCCCAACTCCAAACTCCAAACTCCCAACTTGCAAATCGCAAATCGCAAATCGCAAATCCCAACTTCTCCGTCATGGCCCTGGCATGAAAGCCGACTGGCATCGGCGGTGAGTGAGCATTAAGTGTAGGAGACACGAAATCCCATGTGCAGTCAGCCCAGACGACAGATTATGGACAGGCAGAGTGATAAAATGTGAAATGGACCTGAGCGCCACATTTGAAGGGGTCGCTTAACGTGTTTAGTCATGCGCACGTATTCTCGTGTCTGTGTGGCGGGTGTGTCGGTGGTTGTGTGTGGCTGGGTGTGTTTGTGTGGCTGTGTTGTCATGTGAATGAATGAGAGGGGAATAGGACAGAAATCACAAATGGTCCGAGGTAGGGGAGAGTGTGAATGAACATGTGTGCAGAAGGGTCGACGATCATGTCGCTTTTGCATTCATGCTGGAATTGGACAATTGGCAATAAAAGTGCCGAACTCTCAGCTCCACCGACTGTCGGTCGGACTGTAAACTGTCTCTTACTCGTCGGTTGCCTTGGCCCCAACTCCTCCCCTCGCCTTCAGCCCAGTTTTGCCGTCTTCGTCATGCCGTGATCCCGGCCAATCAGAGCTGAAGCTCATGCTCTGACATGTCGGTCGGCGCAGCTGAGGCTGTTCCGACTCGAGACCGCCCGATTGTCGGTCCGTCAGTCGATCCCTTCCATCCAAGACATCAACATCCACGTTGTTCATTTAACCCAAGACACCCCCAGAATCATACTTTTGCATTTTCTGCTTCTCTTTCTTTCACACACACACACACACACATGCACACCACCTGCAATAAGACATGTTCCGATATGCTTATTCGTTTGTTTAATCAACTCATCAGTTGACATAGACTAGATCTTAACTGTTGGGGAGCCGGTTATGATTTTAAGATAAATGTGATAGGAATTGGAGACACGACCCAATTCACTATGAGTTCTATGCTTGCGTTTGTGTGTGTGTGATTTT